TTAATGTTCCTGTCGGATTGTTTTGTTTTTTTTTTTTCTCGGGCGGTGGGAGGGGGAAGGGTGGTAACAAACAGGTACGTTATAATAATAATAATAAATCCTGGAAAATACACATCGGAAATATTTTTCTGTTTTTTTCCTCCTTCTCCTCTCAAAGGGGTTTCACTTCGCCCCCCCTCGGGATTATTTTTTTTTTTTTTTTTTTTACGATCGAATGTCGTTGAAATTTTTTTTTTTTTTTCTGGATTTTATTTTTTTTACTTTTACCCCTTCCCTGTCGTTCCTGTTTTGTTTTTTCCTGCTTCTTCTTCTTTATGACTTTGTTAATTAGAAAAACTTTTTTTCAACGTCGAAACAAAAAAAAAATCCAAACGAAAAAAAAAAACAATGAAATTTTAAACCGGGAAAACTAGAAAAAAATCGGAAAATTTTCATTTTACGTACCTCTCCCCCGCCCTTCCCCTCTTGAAAAATTCTTAAATTCTTGTTCTTAAATTTACAAAATAATGATGATGGTAAAATTAACGGGAAAGAGAGAGAGAGAAAGAGAAAGAGAGAAAGAGGTTTTTGCGGTAAATTAAAAAAAAAATTAAAACGTTAAATTATAAAGTTATATATGTATATGTATATATATATATATATATATATATATACACGTTGTTTCTGTTGTTTTTGTTTTTGTTTTTGCTGTTGTAAAAATAATAATAATAATAATAGTTTGAATTTAAATTTTATTGAGGTTTTCCTGTCGGATTGCACTAATCTAACCGCAGAACTCGGTCTCATACTTATTATATGGTTGTTGCGTGAGTGCGTGAGTGCGTTTAAACGCTAATAAATTATATATAAAACCCTTTTTTTTCGGGGGAGGAGGAGGGAAAGGGTTAGGGAGCGGAGGAGGGGGAAAGGTTTAAAAGAAACAAATAACTAAAACTAACTTACCTGAAAAATTTGAAAAGTGAATAAAATAAATTTTTCGGTCGTAAAATGGTTTTTATTCCCTTTATCTTTCTTTAATTTCTTTGTTGTTTTTATTATTACTTTTTCTTTCCTTTTTTTTTTTGTTTGTTTGTTTTTTTTTTTTTTTTGACGAGATTACTAGACGGAAACAAAAAAAAAATGCAATCGAAAAAAAAGATTTGATTTTAAACTAATTAAACCTGAATCGTGTGATGTAAAAAATAAGAGAGAGAGAGAGAGAAAACGGAAAGAAAACAAGGAAAGGGGGTAGGGGAGGGATAGGAAAGGAAGAGGAGGAGGAAGGGGATAAAAAGATTGAAAGATATATATATGTATATTTTGAATAAAAAAAAGATTCGTGATTTTACAAAAACTTAATTTCATGGAAAAAACATTGGAAAATTTCACCCTCTCGAAACGAAAAAAAAAAGAAATTTTATTTTTCCCTGAAAACCTGTCAAAGGATGACAGGTATCATTCTGTTTTTCATTTTTCCTTTTTTTTTTTTTTTTTTCTTCCACAGTCATGCACTGTTGCATGTATTTTTCACGCTCGAATAAAAATCATCAAAAAATATTTCAAGTGATTTTCTTTTTATTATTATTATTATTATTATTATTTACCTCAAATTTAATTTTTTTATTTTATTTTTTCCCTCCCCATATTATTATTATTATTATTATTATTATTATATTTATCTATGACGTCGTAGTGAAAATTTTTTGACTTTTCCTTCACGAAAATTTTTGACATATTCTCTCATACCAAATATTATTATTATTATTATTAAATTTCCCTTTTTTTCATTCCTGCATGACTAATTTCATATCTTTTATCTATCTATCTATCTGCTATCTCGCATTTACTCTTCTCCGACAGCGGGTCGGAGGTTGGAGGAGGGCGGAAATTTTTTTTTTTTTTTTTTTTTATTTTCTCCAGCGTTTCGTTTTTTTTTTTCCTTTTCTTTCTCCATATTTATTTTATAAAAAAATTTTTTTTTTCGTTTTACCCTATCGACTCACGTATAAACAATAAATCAATATATTAATAATATTATTGACCCTTCGATGACCCCTACGACGACAGATAATATTATCTCACGAAATTTCATATTTCAAAAGATTTGAATTTTTTTATTTACGTTACTGAGATGAAAAACGACAACAACAACAAACGGGGGATTTTGTTGTTGTTGTTGTTGAACACGAATAAGAAACAAATTTTTTTTCATTTTTTGAATAAAATCAAAAATCTCACGCTCGTGCATACACGTCACGAAATTTTTTATATTCGTGGCAGCAGCGGCGGCTGTGGCGGGGAAACCCCGAAAAAAAAAAAAAAACTTTACATGCTAACCTTATTTTCCATAAATATCCGAAACCTATAATTTTAATCTAGGGGAAAAAAAAAAAAAAATTTCAATACACACACACACACAGAGAGAGAAAATTTGTGACATTCGATTTGCATGTTTAAAATTAGCAATTCAAAAAAAAAAAAAAAAAAAAAAAAAACAACGAAAATGACCCGATAAAAAAAAAAAAAAATCATTAAATTAATTCCACGTGATTAACCCTGGAAAACGATAAAGTTTTTTCATTTTTTTTTTTTTTTTGTCGTTTGATTATTATTATTATTATTAACCGAAAATTTTTTTTTTTTAGTGCGCGAATCGTTAGAAAAAAATTATTGGAATTGTGATGATGATGATGATGGTCCTGATGATGCTGTAGCTCGTTCGTTCGGATGAATCCGGGATGAGATAAACTCAAACGACGAGACGTGCGTATTGAAATTGATTTTTCTCATTTTTCTCATAACTATTTAATAATAAGAAAATAATAATAATAATAATAATTAAAAACGGAAATTTTTATTCCCCGCTGGAAAAATCGTAGGGAAAAATTTCCCGCCATTTTTTTTACGGCAAAACGTTTTTCTCTTGGAAAATAATTTTTTTCATATTTGTTTAGACATTTTTTTTGAAATTCACGTCTGTCATTTTTTTTTTTTTTTTTTGAAATGATTGATAACTCAATATTTTACTTTTTTTTCGTTGATAATAATAATTCAAACAAATTTTTTTTTTTTTTTTTTTTTTTCGAATCAAAAAAAAAAAAACGGGAAAATTATTGACAGTTAGCAATAACAAAAAAAAAAAAAATAAATTATTGTCGTCATTGAATAATTGCAGGGAATTTTTTTCCCTCATTAGTTGGTATTCCATATAAACAACAAACTCTTCGTTTGTTTGTTTATTTATTTTTTTTTTTTCGAATCGCTTCCTTTTTTTTTTTATATTCCCTTTTTGTTTTTGTTTTTGTTGTTGAAACATAATGTTTTACGAGTTTCGCTTTCTGAAATTTTCTCTCTCTCTCTCTCTCACTCTCTCTCGTTAAAACGTAAAGTTTGTAAATAAATATTCTGGGTTTTCTCTTAAATTTTAATACGCGTTTCTGTTTGGAATTTAAAACAGCTTAAGGTTATTGATTAGGTTTTTTTTTTTCCTCGCAAAAAAAAAAAAATTTTTTTTTTTTTTTTTTTTTTTTTATAAACATCTGCAGTCGATTCTTCATTTTAACTTTAAAAAAAAAAAAAAAACTGACAAAAACAGTTATTTTAAGCTGTAGTAGTAGTAGTAGTAGTAGCAGCAGCAGTAGCAACAGCAGAATCATATCACACACGATATTTTACCCGTCGTAAAAAAAAAAAAAGGGCGTAAGTCAAACCCTTTTTTTTTTGCTGTTGTTGTTTGTTTATTTGTCGTCGTTTGTTTTCGTAAATTATTATTAATAGAGTTCGGTGTAAGTTTTTTTTTTATCGTGAAAAAAGTATAATAATAATAATTTTTCAGGATTTGATTGATAACCTTTTCACTTTTCCCTTTTTTTTTTTTTTCGGTCTCTTAAATGTGTGAGCAGTTGTTGTTGACATCGTCGTCGCCATTTTCCTCGTCATCGTCCTTGCTTTTTCTCTCACTTTAAAACTTTTTTTTTTTTTTTTTCACGTTCGACTTTATTAAAAGGTTATATGTCACGGTTTACACGTGACAAATTTTTGACAACTTATTTTACACGTGCACACGTTCGCGGGAGCGTTCCACAAACGATTACGTTTATTTTATCCATTTGTGTTTGTTTCTTTATGTTAATCGTGTTTGTTTTATTGTTGTGACTAAACACACGATAAATAAATTTCTTTTTTGTTTTTATTTATCTTTTTTATCGTGGCAGCAACAACCTACCTGTTTTTTTTTTTTTTTACCGTTTTTTGAAAAATAATATTTCACGTGTAAAAAAAAAGGGGGGAAAGGGGGGGAAAACATTTCAAATAACTTTTCAACATTTTTTTTTTATTTTTAAACTTTAATAATTTATCATAAAAAAAAATGAAGAAGTTGTTAAAACGTTTGTTTTTAAAGTTTTATATGAAAAAAAAAAAAAAAACAATATATATTTATATAAACACGTGATTAATGGTCCAATGATCAAATTTGATAGTTTTTAATCATGTTTTCAGTTTGAACGGTTTGAACGGTTTGAACGGTTTTTTTTTTTATATACCGATTAAATTTAAATTTACTATTAAAAAAAAAAAAAGGTAATATCGTTATAAAAATTTATAAAAACTAAGGGGGAAGGATTTTTCATTAAACCGGATGTGCACGTTTTTTTTTTTTTTTTCCAGAACTTTCGTCCACCTGTTTTTGACAATAAATTATTTTTTTTTTTTTTTTTTTTTAAAAAGGGAGCAAGAGTAAAAAGAATATTTAACAAAGCAATCATTGTCTGTCTTCTCATTGTTTATGCATTAAAAACTCTTAAGTGGATTAGTTCACCATGTTTTTTTAATTGCAATAGGACCGTTTGTCCTTGTTTGTTTTTATTTTTTTTTTAATTGAAAACAACAACAACAACAACAGCAGCAGATTTATTTCGTGGAAAAATATTTATCGATTTATTTTCGAAAGCGAAACATCGTTTTATAAACATATATATATATAATTATCGTGCGCGGAAGGGGGGAAAAAGAAAAAAAAAATGAAATTAACGACAAAATCAAAATTCGATGAGATTTTTAAAGGTGTGACGTCATCAAATTCGTGTCGTGATGAAAATGAAACGATCATAAATGACGAAAGGACTCCGTTGTTAGTATTAAATAATTATTATTATAAGGATGTTAAAAAAGTTTTCGGAATCAGAAGGAGTTCCGCTTTATTCATTTTGTACGTAATTTTTTACGCGGCGTATTTAATTGCCGGTGGTATTATATTTACCGTACTCGAAAAACCGGAAGAAGAAGAAATAAAAAAATATCTCGTACGAGCCCGCCATGTTTTTTTAAACGATAATAATTGCGTTCAAGGTAAGAAAAATAATTTATCGGTAGGGAAAAACAAACAAACAAACAAACACAACGGATTCTTAAATAATAATAATGATAATGATAAATCGTTGTTTCCTCTCTTTTGTAAAAAACCGGAAACCTTACACAAAAATATTATTATTATTATTATTTTTTTCGTTTTTTTTTTTACGCGGAAGAAGGTCGACGACGATGACGACAGGATTAATTATTTATTTAAAAAAAAAAATTGTTGTGTTGTTGTTATTAAAGATCATAATTGTTTAAACAAAAGAAAAAAAATCAATGAACTCTCACTCTCTCTCTCTCTCTCTCTCGTTAATAATGATAAATAAGTTGTGTAAGTGCGCGTGTAAGTTTCTAACGTTTTTTTTTTTTTTTTTTTTCACGTGTTAGTGACAATGATATGATTTAAACTTGGTGTTATTATCCGTAACTACTACTTATTCTCCTTATAAAAAAAAAATTTTCTTTCTCTCTCTCTCTCTCTCTCTCTCTCTCTCTCTCTTTTAAAAGGATAATAAATATCTTTTCCAGTTGATGATGATGATAATGATGATGATAAGCTGATTATCTCTTATTCATTTTGAAAATGTCCATTGTTGTAATGGCGAACGTAGACCGTTGGCGCGTTATACGTATAATTAAGTTTTTTTTTTTATAAAATGGTTTCTCTCTCTTTCTCTTTTATTAACAAAACAAAACTTTTCATTAAGTCTTGTTGCGTTTGTCTTTGTTGTTGTTGTCGTTGTCGTAGTAGACGATTTTCATTCAACCTTTTGGCAAAATATTTCGTTTGTTGTTATATATATATATATATGGATTGTCATATACATTCTCGTTTTTATTCCTTTGACATAATTATATCGTTTAATTATGTTTTCCGAGGAAAATTTATTTATTAATATCGTAGCAGACGACACACTCGCGTGAAATTTTCCGATTTAAGTAAAAAAAAAATTTTTATTTTTATTTTTATTTTTATCGAACGATTTATTTTTATTATTTCTTCTGTCTTTCTCTTTTTTCTTTTTTCTTTCTTTTTTCTTCTGTCTTTTTTCTTTTTCCTTTTTCTTTTTCTTCTTCAGATGATCCAGAAGAAAAAAAAAAAATTTTTTTTTACGCTCGAATAAGATTTCCTTTTTAGTCCGATTTTATTCTTCATTATTAATTATTTTGTGTAATGATCCTCCTCCTACCTTTTTTTTGCTCCTTTGAAGTCGGGTATATTTCCTTTGAAATTTTCTTTTTAACAATTATTTTTATTTTTTTATTTTTTTTATATAAAAAATATTTTCCTTTGTCGACAAAAGTATTTTTTTTTTTTATTCCTTTTTTTCCTTTTTTTTTCTTTTATTTTCGAATCTTTTAATCGGTTACTATTTTGACCGTAAGAAATTTATTAAATTTTTGTTTATTTTTCACGCTTCCTTATTCCCCCACCCCCCCCTCTCTCTCTCTCTCTCTCTCTATCATTCGTTCATTTTCTCTGTTTATTATTTTGTACAGAAAAAAAAAAAAACTTTCCACCCTTCATCCAGTAATTTTCCGGGGTCGAAAGGTGGGGGGGAGTTGAAAAAATTTTTTTTTTAAAGTCGTAAAATCAACTTTTTACGAAGTAATCAAGATTTCAAAAAAAAAAAAAACCGGAAAACAACAACAACAACAACAAACGTGTTTGTTTAATTTAAAAAAAAAAAAAATTTATTCTTTTTTTTTTTTTTTTGTTTTTAAATCACACAAAAAATAAAACAAACGACAAACGCAAAAAGATTTTATACAAGGGTGGAAAATTGTTGGTTGAATTTTTTACGTTGGATAAACATTGAATTAGTTTAATACGACGAATGCACAATATTATTAATAATTATTATTATTATTATTTTAAAAAATCCCTTTTTTTTACTTAAAAATAATTAAATTTTACTCCTCCCCTCCCCGTCTCCTCCTCTCTTCTCCCCCTTCTTCTCCTCGTCGTGAAAGGGAAAACTTTTTTGTTTTTTATTTTATTTTCGAACCCAAAAAAAAATCCATTAAATTAGAATTTACAAAAAAAAAAAAAAATGGGCGATCGAATTAATTATTTAAAAAGATGGCGGAGGGAAGGAGGGCGGGGGGACGAAAATAAAATTGAAAAAAAAAACCGATCAAAATGGTAAAAATCGGTTTTTTTTAACCGTTGCCCCCAAAAAAAAACAAAAAAAAAAAAAATTGACGTTTTCTTTGATTCGTTTATATAAAAGTTTTTCTTTTTTTTTTTTTTTTATTTAAAAAACATTTTCATTAATCTTCTTGTCACATTTCCTACGGATTTTCCAAGAGTTTTACCCTTCCCCTCCCCTCCCCTCCTCCCAACCCCCGCCGAAAAAGAAAAAAAAATTTTTTTTTTTTTTTTCCCTTTCGCACGCAGACCCACACAGTACGAAAATTCTAATTTTATTCGTCAATATTTAAATTCCGTGATTCTCCGATAAATAAAACGCTAAAAAAAAAAAAAAAAAAAAGAAAATTTGACTTTTAAATTTTCGTCTTTTTTTTTTTTTTTTTTTCTGGGGAGGTTGAGGAGGCGGGGAAAATGTTTTTAAAAAAAAAAGTCGAAGGGATGTGTGTGCGTGCGTGATTAACATTGTAAGATATTAAATTTCGATTTAAATCTGATGACGTCATTGCTAACCTTCAAAAAAAAAAAAAAATTTTTTTTATTACGTATCAATTACAAAAAAATAATTTTTAAATTCGTACAAACAACAAACAATATAATTACATTTAATTATTATCTTTCGTCCTAACAACAACAACAACAACAACAAACGACAATTATTAATAATAATAATAATAATAATAATAATAATAATAATAATAATAAATTATTTGGTTTAATTTAAAAAAAATTTCCATCTTTATAGTTTTAACGGTTTAAACAAAACAATCAAAACTATTGTCATCATTATCATCATCATTATTATCTTTATTTTATTAATAAATAAATAGTAATAATAATAATTAATTGTAAGTAAATAATTTTATTTAATTAACGGAAGCGATAATAATAATTAAATAAATAAATGAACAAAATGGATTTCTTAATAATAATTATTATATAAGAAAAAATTTAACGGTCGTCGAGATGACGTCATCGTCGTGGTCGTGGTAGTAGAAGGCTGTGATTTTTTTTTCCCGCGTTTTTTTTAAAAAAAAAAAAAATATATATATTACCTATATGATATTTATTTTCAAATATTTATAATTAATAAAAAAATGATGATGATGATAATTATTATTATTATTAAAAATTTTTTAAATATAATTTTAATATTTTAATATTTCACCCTTCGACCTCATTAGTGAATTTTCTAAAGATTATAATAATAATGATGATGATAATAATAATAATATCAATTTCATTTAAAAAAGAATCAATAACATTGAAAAGTTTTTTTTTTTTTTTTTTTTTTTTTAAATTTTATTTTTGAATAAAGCAGTGGGGGTGGTGGTGGTGATGGGGGTGAAAATGGAGAAGGGGTGTAAACTGGGGCTGTAAACAGGAGGGGGGAGGAGAAGGGGTTGGAAAAGTAAATATGTATTATTCGTTTCTGACAAAAAAAAAAAAAAAAAGGAAAAAAAAATGGAAAGTAAAAAAAGAAGAAAATTCAATAACCATAAAAGTCATTTTTAAAAACTTTTACCCCGAGTTTAAAAAATAATAATAATAATAATAATAATAATAATAATAATAATAATAATAATAATAATAATAATAATAATTTTAAAAAAAAA